GAGCTACGGGGATTTTCGCACAGTTGGAGATCCGTTTGTTGAATGTCCACGGACCCCAATGGCCCCTTGGGTCCCTCCGCCGATGCGAGTATGATCAATGTGCGTCTGTCATGCAAATTTAAATTTGTCCAAAATGAAAAAAAAAAAAAAAAAAAAAAAAAAGAAAAAGAAAACCCCAATCCCAATCCGAGACCCCAATCCACGAAAGCCGGGCACGCAGGCAGGCCGCAGCCGAGGGACGGGGCACCGAGGTTGATGTTGCTGCCGGGCCTAGACAAGCGGCAAGTTAATTTATGCAACACTGCAACACGGCGCGGCAACAACAACGGCCGCTGTGGCAGCAACACAATGCCAATAAAGGCTTTGGGGCAGACACAACAGCCACAGGAACAGCCACAGCAACAACAATTTGAAAATTGTTTATGCGTCTGCGCAGCCGCACAGTCGCCCCCCTCTCCCCCTCTCCCGCTCTATCTTCTTGCTGCTGCAACTTGTGGCGCGTTTAGTGTTAAACGCTTGATTAAAATTCTTGTAACTGCAACACTTTTGTGGCATGTGTTGTATGGAGAAAAAAAGAGAGAGGGCGATTGTCTGGGATCTTTATGGAGCGTGTTGTTTCCTTTGTGGAGGTTGGTTTGCTTTTCTTTTCTTCGCTCTTCGCTCTTCGGTTCCATGCATCACTGGGAAGATCGTTGTTTGTGTACCTGGCGGCTGTGCCTCATGCCTCATGCCTCATGCCTCTGCGTCCTGGCCATTGTTGCTCTTGTTCTTTTTTAATTGAATTGATTTGCATTTTTCACGCAGGCGTTGCTCATTGCCGTTGGATAAGCAGGAAATGTTTGCCGTTTTGGCGGTGGGGTGGGGAGGGGTTGGAATTAACCCAAATTAAGATAAGCGGGACTTTCAATCGAATCGAACGGGTGGAGACGCACGGGCAATGCTTTCTTTTTGGGGCTGTAAGGGCTCCACCTTGCCACAAGACAACCACCCATGAATGCAGCAATCTTGCAGCAATTGCATGTTAATTACAATTTGAACATGCCTCAACACCCGACACTGCCACTCTGCCCCAACGCCCTCCCTTTGCACTCCCCCAAAGTGCCAGAAAGAAAATTGTTATTAATTAACATGTAATTGTTACGGGCAGGCGACATGACAGAGGCCCACATCGCATCGCATCGCATCGCACCGAATCGAATGTGGTATGCCGCGGACACGCGGTGGCAGGGCATGTGGGAGGCTCTCTCTGTCAAATCGCTGCCGGCTTTAACAAATTAATAAACTTGACCAAGACACGATAAAACCGCATAAATCAATTTCGGTACAAATGCGCTAAACAATCATAAATAATAATTAAATGCCTGTTTAAACTACTTTTCGGAGGCTCCCTCCTCCCCCACAGACCCTCCCTTGCCTCCGGCTGGTTGGATAATTAAAAACTGTCGGTAATTATTGAAATTTGTGGCCAGCAGCAGACATGGGTTAACCGAATGTCGCTTAAATTACAGCCCCAAAAATGCTCACAAAATTTAATTCAATTTAAGGCAAATAATCGACGAGGAAGGAGCTCTCGCTCTCTCCCTCCCTCTCTCCTGTCTCTCTTTTTATTCACGGGTATGCCTCGTTAGTTGTGTCCACTTCCTGTGTTTGTGTTCCTGTTCCGTTTCCCTTTCCGATGCCTGTCATCTATCCAATAATTTGTGACGCCTAATTGGGCAAAGGGTAGCCAGCCACTGCCACAGATACTTTGCCATGCATCCGTATAGAGACAGAGAAGATGGACAAAAAAAAAAAAAATGTTACACTTTTGTGCTTCTAATTGCGCATTTGTATGCCTAATCGATCTGTCCGATTCGATTCGTTTCCATGTCTCTCATGGAATTTGTGGGCCATGTATAGGTGAGTGCTTTCTTTTTGTCTCTGCTTTCCATTTCTGTTTTTCTGGCCGGACTTTGGCTTTGGCCAGGTGTCCGTTTGAACTGCTAAACCAAATGAAGCGTGACATTATTCACATTTTTTTCGAGAGGGTGTGGAGGTGGTGGTGCGACCTGCTCTATGTAAATTGGTCGCATGACAAAGGAACTTGTGTGTCCGTATCTCTATTGTCTGGGCAATCAATTGCTGTCTAACCGTTTGATGATAGCTGACGGTCCCCTGAATTGGGAGAGGGTTCATGAGGAGTGATGGTTACTAGAGAACGGATAGGAGGTTTTCCTACTTGTCTACATATGTCTGATGAGGACTCCATCTAGTCGTTTCCCTGTCTGATGCCCACTGTGCCTGGACCTCCTGTCATAAGTGGCTTTCGGCCAAAAGTGGTTTAAATGCGAGAGAGTCTGCTTCAAGCAGTTTCCCTCTCTCCGCCCCTCTAAGCGAACCATCGATTGCGTGTTGCAACAAACGCTGATCATGTAAATCCTAAGCAGCAGGCAGTCTGTATATACATGTATGTACATATATAAAGGCTAGAATGTGCGCCAGACAGAGGCGGGCGACCACAAAACCCACATGCAATTCCACTCCGATGTTGCACGCAATTAAAATCTTCATTAGCCGCGTTTAATTTCCACTTTTGATTAAAATAAGAAATAAAACATATAAAATGAGAAAATGCAGTACTAAAAATAAAACAGAAAAAAAATCTTGTGACATGTGTCGTGGCTTATCGCCATCAGCCGCCAGCAACAAGTGGAGTTGGGGAGTTGGGGAGTTGGGGCTATGGGGCGGTAGATGGAGATGGAGTCGGCACTGGCACTGGGACTGGCACTGGCACTGGCACTGGGTGGAGGCGCAGCAGGATTCGATTGGACTCCTCTGCGGACACTTTGCCTGATTAACGATACGTCCTCGTCCTCCGGGCACTCCTCCTCGTCCTCCTTGTAGTCGTCGTCGCTATCAATGTTGGGCCTAAGTGACAGTTGACTTGTTTATCAATTGACAGTTGTTGTTGCTCCGCCGAAGCGGCAACGGACACTGGCTAACTGTTAATAAGCTTGTACCGTGGCCTGTGAAAATGTTGCTTTTAATTAAAAGTTGCCCAACCCCTCCTGGGCGGGGGGGGGGAAGCCTGGTGTTTTGTAAGCCCGTATTTTAAAGCCCGATGCTGTCAGGATAGCGGCCAAGAGCTCATGTCTTACAACCAAGTAGTGGCTTTGGGGCATGCTGCAAGTCAAGATATTTTATATAAGCATAAATAAATATTTGGGCCAGCCTACACAGTACGCAGTACGCAGACATTCGCTTGAGATAAAGATACATTCTATAGTTGAAATTATTATTAAATATTTATTTGTTTGCTAGTGGCACAGTTCTTTGTTCTCAGGAATTTTTTAATTGGTTTTCTTTTGCCACAAAACTTGCGGATAGCCAAAACTTTTTGGCCCACTTCGGACATGTTTATTGCTTTGGCCACAGTTAAGCGATATTTCTTAGACAAAAGCTGCAGAAACATCTCCTTCCTGGAGTGCCAGACTCCGGCTCCGGCTCTGGCTTCGGCCTGCAGTTGTGGGTCAGTGGATTACTTTTTCAGGCTTCTCGCATTGTTTTTTTGTTTCACTTCTTGGCTAAAGTTGAATGCAGTCCAGTCCCAGTCTCTCCCTCTCTCTAATGAGCCGTCGCTGAATGAAGTTCAATGTTGTGGCTTGTAAATCTCCCCACATGCTCCACTTTCCCGGACAGAAATCCCATTTCCATAAATATCAATTAAGCACAGTGACAGGGAACATGGGGAGTTCTCGAGTTGCTCTCCGAGACGACTCCAGCTACTGGCTACTGGTTGGGCTGCTACCTGGCCTACGCAGTTTTATAATTGGACAATTTACTACCCCCCCGCCACTCCCCGGCGACCACTTGGAGAGCGCTCATCAAGAGAGCTGAGGAAATGCTACCATTTGGGCGTTGAAGCATGAAACCTATGTCCGTATGTGGGCGTGGCAATTGAAATTGAAGTCGTGTGCTAACTGTGGGGGGGGGGGGGGGGGGGAGCGGGGGTACACAGTGTACTGTTTTGCTTGAATGGATATTCCCCCCGAAAAAAAGAAAATTCAATTAGTCAAAGTCGAATCGCCCCCCCCCCCCCCCTGGCACCCAATCCCGGAAAAGGCTTTCCCTCGTAAGCGGCTTACACACACACACACACACACACACACACACACACACACCCGCAAACTGTTTCACTAATTTTCAAAGCTCCTCGAGCCTGTGCTCTCGCTCTTCTAATTACTCCTAACCGAAGGGAGGAGGGAGGCTGCGAGGCGACAAGAGATGATGTTACTTAGTCATTTGGCATCCACTAAGCGGTCACTAAGCGTCAATATTTCAGGCCTAAGCCTATTACAGATTATTGTGCCAGCTTACAACAGAGGCAGACGACATGTCCGGCAGCCTGGGAGCCTGGGAGCCATGGGGCAGGCAGGCATTCAGGCATTCAGCCAGCCGATGGCATCTCGGGTTGAGTGTCAACTCTCCTGATTGGACAGCTTATTGGGCCTTTGATTTGCATAATATTTCGTTGAATAGTTTCGAGAGGGCAATGTGGAAATTGGGGAACGCCAAGACATGGCATGGAATGTGGGATACAGGTGGAAGGAGGGGGAAATAGGTCAATCGGGTTTGTAGCTTTCACGGCATTAAATCTCAAATCTCTCATCACAAAATCCCACAAATTAAATTCAATTAATTACTACTCGTTTGCTCCACTAAAGGTACTTGAATTTCCGATTCATGAAAAGTGCAGCCCCTTCCAAAAAATAACCCCCCGCCCCTCCACACACACTCTTCCGGTGCGGGCTGGGGCTGCCGCCTGGGGGGCCTTTACACTTTGATGGCAAACATTTCATGAATTCATTTGTGCGACAGCGCGGAAAATGTGTTTGGCAAATGAAAAGCTGCCCGGACAAGGCCTCGACTAGATTCGAGGAGGGGCGTTCGCAGGTGAGTTTTCAGCTTAAAACCGATCATCATTCGAGGCCGAGAGCTTAGTTGCCCCAAGTCCAGGCAAGATGCAGCTACAGTGGATCATCCTCGGCTGCTGTGTGGCCTTGGCCGAAGGATACATGCTGCCCAGGCAGGGAAGCCTTTTCGAGTGGCTGGCATCGATATTTTTGCCGCCGCCGCCACCGCCGCCACTGACGACTACGACGACGAGGAGACCCACTGCCCCTCCTACGAGTGGCGTCGACAGAGAGTGCAGCACGTGTCGCTGTGGCCTGGTCAACACCCTGCACAAGATCGTGGGGGGACAGGAGACGCGTGTCCATCAGTATCCATGGCTGGCCGTCGTTTTGATCCATGAACACTTCTACTGCGCCGGATCCCTGATCAACGATCTGTACGTGCTCACAGCCGCCCATTGTGTGGAGGGAGTCCCAGCGGAGCTGCTCTCCCTGCGGTTCCTCGAGCACAATCGCAGTCACCCGAACGTGGATCTCCTGGTTGAGAGATCCGTCTCGAAGGTCAGGGTCCATGAGCTCTACAATCCGCGTACCTTCGACAACGACATCGCCCTGCTGCGTCTCAGTCAACCCATGGACCTGCAGGGCCCACACCTGAGACCCATTTGCCTGCCCAGACAAGGCCACAGCTTCGACCACGAGATGGCCATTGTCGCGGGTTGGGGGGCCCAGACAGAGGACGGTTTTGCCACCGAAACGTTGCAGGTATTGTAAAGGCGAAAGAGCCGAGAACTCTCATGGACCTTGTCCCGTTTCAGGAGGTGGACGTACTCGTAATACCCCAAAGCGAGTGCCGCAACGAAACTGCCTACACGCCCGGACAGATCACGGACAATATGCTGTGCGCCGGACTGCTGCCCGAGGGCGGGAAGGACGCCTGCAGCGGCGACAGTGGCGGGCCCCTGCAGGCGACCTTCGACGAGATGCCGGGCCAGTACCAGCTCGCGGGGATCGTATCGTGGGGCGTGGGCTGTGCCCGACCCAACACCCCCGGCGTCTACACGAGGGTCGGCCAGTATCTGCGCTGGCTAAGTGCGAATACTCCCGCGGCCTGTCACTGCATACCCCGTCCCGAGGAGGACTACTAACTGTTGTGGCAGCATCCAAAACTACTTGGGGGAAACATCCGTATCCATATCCATAACCATAACCACAACCATATCTGCAGTCGCATTCCCCAAAGGCATTGGGCAAATAAAAAAGCAATTTGAAACTGGGTTACAACTCTCGATAGGTGGGCTCAGAGGATCCTTCTTTCCATCCGCCGCTGCTCCTCCTCCTCCTCCTCCGTAAAAGTTATCCCAAGGCACGAGGCCATATCTCATGCACATAAATCCCAATTTGCTGGCGAAATATTTTGTGCAATTGTGATTGTTATGCATTTTGCATTTGTGCAATCATAAAATTGCTCTACCTTCCGAAATACCCCACAACAAAAAATAACACAAGGAAAGCCCAAGGACACGCGCCAAACTCGGAGGAGCAACTTCTCCACTCCACAATAAATTGCTCGGAATATTTGCGGCTATTTTAGAGACCCCTCCTCAGTACCCCGGGCACGGGGTAGTAGTATCTCCTGTACGGCAAAAGCGTTTATGTAAAGTTGAAATTTGGCCAAAAGCATAAGCATAAAGTTCTTAACAAATGCGCAACAAATTATCTACTCAAGGGATATGGGGGGGAAATGGCAAATTGAGTTTCGATTTGGCATTCGAAGAGGAAGTTTGCAACTATGATTTATTCTAGAAGATCCCATTCGGAAATGTTCCACCAGTAAAAAGTTCATTAAAAGACCATCGAAACGGCCTGTGGGGATACAAAAAGATGGTGCTTTATGGTCTAAGAATTCCTTTACGATTAAAGATGTTTTCAATCAGCAAAGACAAGCTTTTCCAACGGCACTTCCCCAAATAAAACCGACCATCTTGACCATTAAAATTCTATCTATTAATGTGCCCAAAACTCCAAAGTCCACACTCCACACTCCATTCGGCTGTGAGATTGCCAAACCCTGAAGAAAAGCACGCCCCACGCCCCACGTCGTTGGGGCTTGAGTGGAGTGGAGTGGAGTGGAGCCTCCTCCATAAAGCATATATGTTGATGCATATGTAAATAGTTTTACAAACGCCATGCATCATTAAAAATCTTTACGACTTCATATTAAAGCCAGACAAAAAAACGGCCAGAAACGAACAGAAATGAACAGTAAAGAAACCATTTATACTTTGCCAATAAATTTGTCTCACCCGGAGAAACTCGTAAACATTTCCTACTCAAAGTCGTAAAGAAGTCTCAAAAACACAAGAAACCAAAACCAAAACCAAAACCGAAACCGAAACGGGGGGGAAAAAAAAAGAAGTTAAAGTACTGCCGCCGACCTGCATGGATTTCCAGCTAAACGACAAATAACTTGGCATTTAATAACTCTCCTCTGTGGCCCCCTTCTTGCCCCCCAGTGCCCGCTCCCCGCTCCCTTGCATTTGGCGGCTTCATTATAATGCAGCAAAAGTCTCGACTTTATTTCTGGTTCCATAATTTCTGCGGCAAAGCGAATTTATGCCTTGAAACTAAAGCTCCGACTGCGGACTTTTTGGCCATGTCTGATCGCTGTCTGTGTGTGTGTGTGTGTGTGGAGGCGAGAGATGATGGGACTTTCGAGTTGGATAGAGTGCGTGAGGGAGGAAAGAGTACAGGACATATAGCTAGCAGAAAAGCAGCGAAAAGACACTCACCGGCCTTAAGGGGGTCAGAAAAGGGCCTGAAAGGTAGGTCCATAAATGAGAGGGGTTTCTTAAATCCATCAAGACTTTTCGCAGAATCGACGAGGGCTTCTAATCGAAACTTAGGCTCTATGGAATATATCTACCCCACTCTGACTTCTACCCTTACAGGTAGGCACACCAAATCGATGTCATCTCAGGTTCAGAGTCCCCTAAAAGACATCATTGAACATCAAATTTAATAATCGACCCGTCATGTTCATAATGAAGGCTCTTGGGGGGACGAGTCCTCGGCAGAAGAAACACATTTCTCAGAAGGCAAAACATGACACATCTCATTATGATGACTCCCAAAAGATCTCGGCCGCAGCACACACACACGCTCCAGAGCCAGGGGGCTGTCAGAGCATTTTGTTTATGATTTTGTAGCTGTCATAAAGTTATTAAAAGTATGTGACATTTTTATGGCATTATGACGTCTTGCCAGAGCCACAGGCACAGAGAGAGAGAGACAGAGAGAGAGAGAGAGAGAGATGTGTGGCAGGCAAGTGCTGCTTGCTGTTTGTTTTCAACGCTTTGAAGCTCTCGGAGGTACTGCTTGTCCCTGAAATATGATATCAAATAAAAAGCAAATTAAAGACGATAAAAATCGTGTCCCACCTCACGCTGGGTTAAATGCAAAAAGAATAAAAATAAAGAATACTTATTTTTGCGAGTCTCCAGGCGAAATCCCTTCGATTGGACTGTGGGTCCCGCGTTGGGGTTTCGGTTTTCGGTTTTCGGTTGCCTGCTTCATCTTGTTATTTGGTGGCTCATAAAACTTGTAAACATCCGACTGATTGTGCCCCTGTCTGGCTTTGGTCTCTCCCTCGCCATCGCCCTCGCCCTCGCCCCGAGAGTGGGTGCTTGTTTCGTTTCGAATTGGTAAGATATTTCCAGATTGGCCCTCGTAATGGGGCACTGAGGGCGTGAGAGATCAAAAGCCGATAAGCGGCCGAAAGGTCCGAAATGATGGCCCTCTAAAGAAATGGAAATTTCGAATGGAAATAATGGTTAATGGGCCTCGCATAGAAAAGGTGCTGTGGTTAGAGGTGTTCGAGAAGAGAATAGATAAGAGATGAGGCTGGTGCTCATATAGATCTAAAGATACAAGTTTTATGAGCGAAAGTACATCACTTTTTTGTTGTACTCTGGTTTCCTTTTCATTCTTATATACATCATATTCTAAACAAAAACTTATTCCTTTGGGAGGGTGAGCTTGGATTTGCGGAAATCGTAGCTGCGGCGCTTGGCTGCCGGCTGTGAGGCTGTGCGGCGCAGCACCTTCTGGTCGATGTACTCCTCATCGTCGTCGTCGTCGTCGACGGCAAAGTCCATCAGCTCGTCCTCCTCGCTCATCAAGATCTTCTGCCCTGAGTCCTCGTTATCGTCGGGGAGGAGCTCGACAGCGGCCTCCTTCTTGGACTTCTTGGGCAATGGTTCGTCGCCGGTTTCTCGATCAACTCCCTGCAGACGATTCTTTGTCGTTTTCTGTGCCCTTATCCCTTGGGGCAGCTTGTTTTCGTCCTTGGTTTTCTTTACAAACTTGTAGGTGCCGTTGTTCTCGTTCAGAAACAGCTCCAACGACGAGGAAGCTCCTTTGTCTTCGTCTTCGTCTTCGCTGGAACTGGAGCTGGAGCTGGACTCCAGGAGCGCGTTGGATTTCGAGCCTTTGTTGTACTTCTTTTTTTTGGACTTGATCGGTTTGGGCTTCTCCTTGGGTTTGGATGTGCTGCCGCTGCCGCTGCCGTCGCCGTCGCCGTCGCCAGCGTCATCGCACAGCTGCTGCATGACCTCCTCGAGGTCAAAGGCATCCTTCTTGGCATCTGCGGCAGCATCCTTCTCTTCGTCGGAGTAGTCCACACCAATGGGTAGGTTCTGGTTGAAGTCGCCCGACTTGTTGTGGCCGTCGATCACGATCTGCTTGTAGCCGCTGATCTTGATGCCGTAGCGGGGCATGTACTCCTGGAAGAAGTCCTGCAGCTTCGGGGGCGGCACGTTGCCGTAGTAGCCGGCAAACGAGGGCACCTGCTTGGTGAGTATCTTGGCCACCGACTCGTACGGGTTCACGATCTTGTCCGTCTTGGCCACCAGCTGCTGCTCCACGGTGGTCTCCAGGATGGCTGCCGGCCGGCCCCCGCGCTTGGCCACCGGCCTGTTGGAGGCATTGGCGTGTTCCTGCAGCACAGCCACGTCGGAATGGTAGCTCAGCTCCGTGCGGAGGCGGCAGCGTGCCATCTGCAGGGGCGACAGATAGGAGTTGAAGGAGAAGCAGAGGTCCTTCTGCTGCTGCTTCTGTTGCGTTGTGGGTGTCTCCTTTTTCTCTTGCGGTTTGAGGCTTCTTATGTGGCAGATCTTTTTCGGCACACCCATTACGAAGTTGGCATGCTGGAAGACCAAGACTATAGAGCTCTTGGGCAGATCCTGCAGGTCGTGGTCCAGCACACGCACAAAGCCGTGGTTCAACAGCTGCTCCGTGAACTGGAGGACGCTGTTGCAACTGAACAGGGACCGGGACCCCAGCAAATGCTCCTGCAGCGCCACATACTCGAGCAGCAGGTGCTTGCCCTTCTTCGACCAATTGAGGAAGTCAATGCGGCGGCTGTTGGTGGCCAGGTACAGCTTCTGGACAAACGAGTAGGCAGCAAGTCGGCGACGCAAGATGCGCCTCGTCACGCGGGGCCTCTGCTGCCGCACTCCGGCCGTCCTCTTTTCCTTCAACCTTCCTCCGGCCCGCTTCTTCAGCAGCTTCTTTTTCATCTTCTGGCGGACTCTAGTGGGGATTACCTCATCGTCGGCGATAGTCGCCGGCTTTGGGCAAACCTCCACCTCCGGGACATCGTCCAGCGCATTCGCACCGTCTTCATCGTCGAGGGTGTCCAGAAACTGCCGCAGCTCCTGATCGTGGGCACCTTCGGCCAGCACGATGCCGGGCGCGGGTGGCTCTCCGTGGAATATCTTCTGCCAGTCGTCCGTGTCGTAGGTGCCTCCTCCCGCGTCACGAGCCTCGTCCAGTGCAGCCTCTTCTCCGATGCGCGGAGAATTTTGACGACCGGACATTGCGTGTTGTTCCGTTTGTTTTTTTTGTTTTTTTTTTTGTTTTTTTGATTACAAATTTATTCTTGGACTTTGTTTTTGTCCGCTTGTCGGCACGAAAATAATTCTACACTTTGACGTCAAACGGCAGGAGAAAGCTGCCATACTTTCCAAAGTGAAAGCATCAGTGTTGCAAAACGTTTCTGGTATTTTTACTTTCTCCTTCAAGTGTTGTAGAATTTTGCTGAATTTGATCGTGATGTGTCATTAAATTCATCGAAATAAACTTTAAC